CCATGGGAGTTTGTATACCGGCAAATCTATGGTTTGTATTTCGTCGACACAGAACCATCGTGCTTCCTCAGGAGGTCAGCACAGGAGCATTTCAGACGGGGATGACATGAGTGGAGCAACGTGTTTCTAACGGACGAGTCCCGTTTTAGTGTACAATCTGGCAATAGAAGGATTCAGGATTCTCATTTGGAGAGGACCTGGTACACTAAATACTCTTGCATTTATGCATGCAAGTGTCCGAGCACAATGTGGTCTTTTCTCATATCTTATAACACCTAAACATTACATATCAGTCACCAAAACATTTCCTCATTCTCAGTTTATATCCAACATCCTAATGTCCCCTACTTATTTTGAGTATGTGTAACATATTTTCCTTTATTTAAAGAGAATTTAGGGAAAACATTTATCATTTTCGTTATGAAGCTCATAATATTTTCCAGTGACTTGAAACCTCATATGAAACCTGGTGATGTATTACTCAATGAAAATTTAGAACTCTATGCTAAATGAAATAATGAAGTCGTTTACCTTATTACCTACACTTGAACACCATTAACTGTTTATTGATAGCTAATCTATTGGTATTTATACTGATGCATTTATAGCTGCTTTTCTTAGGTCAACTAATTCAGGTTGCTGCTAATGAACTTCAAAGTGAAAAAATTCTTCTCTGTTACTATTTTTCCAACAGTTACAAGGAATGCTTATTGCTAAAGGAGCTATTCCAGTTATTTCAGTGCTCTCAAGAATTAAAAAAATATAAATCAAACGCCTTTTTTTTTCATTCTCTCTAGATCGGTTACATTTTTAAGCATTTCAGAACTATCTTTTATATGTTTCTAGTCAGGCTAATTATGAAGAAATTAATATTTAAATTCATGCCGGTTTTACAGAAAAAAATGTATGTTCTTTGACACATTCTGTCAGGGAGTACCTCGAAATGGATTTTGTATTTATTAGATTATGGCAAAATACTCCAGAGGAAGAAAAATGGATCTCATGGAGTGGAATCTAATAGAAACTAGATTACACTTACATTACACACGGAGAAAACCACCCGTATAATAAGCTCATTCTCCGGGACTTGAATTCAGGTCGAATAACCAGTGGTTAGTGGTCTTTTTAAACGCTTAGCTGCTAGTGGGTCTCCTTGATATGCATAAACTACTTCAGTAAAACTTAAGTTAATCTAAAATTTAATTTCGTCTGATTTTATTTTTTTTATTTGTGTTTTGTTTCATATAATACTTTCTCTTTGAAATCTTCAAACAAAAACAGCCCTAATTTTGACCATGCTTCTTTTGTATATTTTCTATCCGCTACTAAACGCTTTTTAGTGTATTTGGCTATAATGTTTTAAGCACAAATTATATTTGGATGACTAACCGATACATTTAAATAAGGGACTGCTATTGATAATTTTTAACTGCAGGAGGTAATGAGTCTGTTTTTAGCATCAGAAGTAACATGAGTCTTAATCCTCAATGTTTTGTCCGTACCACGGTAGTAAAAGATTTGATTTGATTTGTTTACGGAAAAGCCCACGAGAATTATTTGCCTAAGGAAAGAGGGATGTCTTCGTGAAGGACTTTCTAAGAGAACTGGCTCGTATCCACATTACTCATGGAGAAAACTACAAAAGCGCCATGCAGCCATCCCGATCACCTCGAATCGAACCCATGTAGAACTACCAGAGCTCATACACTAATGAGCTGAAATAAAAGGAGGTTGCCAACAAACGTTATCGCCATGATATCACTTTTATAAAAATAATGTAGCGAATATTTTTAAAAAATGTGTAGGGTTTATATTTATTTTAACTAACATTTATTTTAAGTTTAAACTATCTTTCCTGTCAAGCCTTACTTTCCCCCGGAATTGCCAATGCCAGAGTATGTAAATTTTAGTAGAACGCGCAAAGTATTCAAAATAGTCAGCGGAAGTATTCTGATTTAAATAGAAGGGAAACGAGTTCAAAAGTGTGCTTTCTTGCTTCACGAGCGTGGAGGTGGCTAGTTAGAAATTGAAGAACCACGCGTTTCGGCCTGTGTGCTTGCCTCGGTAGATAATTAAATCTTTCAACGTAATATTCAGAAGTTTGCTGAATTATCAGCGGTATTTTAGAACGCGGTTAGGTTAGTTACGTTTAGAGAGCCTCGTAAGTAGTCACTAGTTATTATTCATTTTTAGTTTCTTATTTTTATTTTACCGCCGGGTCGGCGTAGTTTGTGAGCGTCAAGAGCACGCATCTGTAATTTCTAAAGTTGAATAAAAAGGGATTTAAACCCTTCTCAAGACTTTGTATACTTTCCAGTTCATAGCAGTCACCACTATTGTTGCGTGCAGGTTGGAAGCGCGCAACATTACAAATGAATGGCAATACTTAACACACGGAAAATTTTAAAGATACGCTTGTTTTTAAATATTCTGCGATTTTGCTGTTGAAATTTAACAAGTTAATTAACATTAACAAACCCGCTGGTTCGACATTAAAATTGAATCCTTTCAGACTGTTTTTCTTTCTCTTTCTGGAAAAAAGATTTATGGTTTCTTTTATAACACCATTTTACTACTGTCCCAATGTATAAAACAGATAACACTTTTGTTGTCTTTATCAGTCATTCCATACACTTCAATCTACGAATTTTGCCATTCTCTGCTGCTTGATTTTGATAACTTTTATTTTTTATTTTCGCTTTCCTAGCAGAGCTGCAACAAATTCATTCAAAAAAAAATCAAGAGGTCATTTTTAAGTTATCTTAAGAAATAAGACACTTGTAGCTGCTTCTTTCTGTCTACTGGAGGCGCGAAATGCATACAGTTGATCACCTGCCTAAATGGCCTGCTTTAATTATGAAATATTATAAAATAGTGATAGAAACCAAAATTCTGAAAAATATCTGCTGAAAAGAAGACAGTTTGGATTGCTGGCCAGTTTCTTTTATAAAAAGCAAAGTTATACCTGAGGATACTTTAACAAATTTCAAAAAACAATTTGAATAATTTGTAGCCCTTGAAAAGGCATCTGTAAGAGACTTTTTAGTTATTGCTACGTGCTCACCATTAGGCACTACACGGAAGGGGAACGAAGCCACGTGGAGAACATTTTAAGGGAAACTAGCTTGTATCCACGTAGCACATGAAACAAAAACCACTAAAACTCCCTCCCAGCTAGCCTATTCGACGAAACTGGAGACGACTACCACTGTTGAAGCGGCTTTCACTGTTTGGCCGCTGGTGGGCCTTCTGCAATCCATTGAATTTCCATATGAATTTTCTTATGTGACATCTGTTTAAACGTATCATAGTTTTGCTACGTATGCTTTGGTCTAATGTATGCTTTAAAGAGAGCATCTTGTACAGCCATATAGTATTTTTTTTTTTCATTTCCGGTGCAATAAACTACCTGAAATATTCAAAACTGCTGTAAAATATGTTTATTTTTAAATGTTTTTCCCTTACTGTAAATGAATTTAAGTCCTTTGAACGCATTCACGTTACGTTACACTAAAACTACACGCATTAGATGCCTTTTCAGCTTCGAATATTTCAACCTTACAACAGATTTATCAGGTCATGACGCCATCGTAACCCAAAGCGTACTTATGTCAAAGACAGTTTATTGCTTTCAGAGATGTCTTCTTGGCCGTACAATATTTTTGTGATTTTCTTCATTTGTAAGGCCTACCTTTTGCCAAGTAGCTAAAGCTGTTGAACACCGGTATAGTTCTACATGTGTTCAAATCTCAGCAAACAAGTTGGCTGTATGAGTGTTTTCCCCATATGGAGTGAGCCTCACCAGTAGCCAAGTGTTTAAGACCTCTGAATATTGATAGTTTGTTATAATTAATTTGGATTATTTAATTATATCAAAACGTTCGAGAGTTGACTGCCTAAGAAACGGGGTGCCTCCGTGGAGGATTTTCCAAGAGAAACTGTCTCGCATACACGTTACACATGGGGAAAACCACGAAAACGCCCATGTAGCCAAACCTTTGCCGGTATTCGAACCCTAGACCGAACTACTTTGCCGTAGTTCCACCCGTGTTTGAATGCAGACGAATGAGATGGCTACATGGGTACGCTTCGTGGCTTTCCCATGTGTAGGATTCGGAGCCACTCCAAGCTTAGGCAGATAACCCTCGTGTACTTTGCCACATATAAAAATTTCAAAGTATGTAACGTTAATATGAGCTGATAATTTTAGGCCTCCCGAAGGATCTCATCCCTTACACAGGAAGCCTTTGCGTTCAACCAAACATTCGCTACGTATAAAGAAATTTCGTCTAGTTTTCGTAGAAATTTCAGACAGTTTTCTCGAAATGTGTTCCACCAAAGCTCTCTCTCAAAGTAAAAGCGCCTGACGCGTTTTATTGTATACTATAATCTATCTTGTAACTATGTCGATTCAAAGACAGCGGAATATTTGATGTTAAATGTAAAGATTAGTAAAAACAAACAGAAATAGAGATGGAAATATTTTTAAGCTTATACGGCTTTCGTGTTTTGAAGATCCTTTTTAAAAATGGTAACGAGATTGCGTGATGTATTTTTATCATTTTACACACGGTCTTCCTTATGTTATCTATTCTACCAAAAAAGGGGAATCTTTATGATAAGAACGTAGAAATGGTCTGATGATTTCGTAAACATTAATGACCTTAAATTTGACATGGAAGTGGTACTGAGATTACGCGCAAGTCGAGGACTACCAATAGCATATAAATCCATATCACTGGAAGCAACTGATAATAACACGTGAGTGTATTTTTTACAATAGATTGAATCAAAAAGAAAAAGAAAAGAAAAGAGAAGCGGACAGATCTGCTCTGACCTAGGTTACTCCTACTGTTGTCAAACGTATGTAATAGTACACTCTTTTTGCATGTCACAGAAATGTTAAATTTTATTTTCCTCTTATCTTCAAATCGCCAAGTATTAAAAAATGCTTTTTTTCACATCGCCAAAATTTCAGCCAAGAGTTAGACGGACATGAATTGGCTTATCGCCAAAGTAGACTTAGTGCGCTACCTCTCTCGCTCTTCCACTTTCGGTTTCCAATGGCACCTTTTTTTTGTGAAGTTATTACAAGTCGTCTAAACGCCGAGACATTTAGAAAACATTGCGACTGTTAACGCATCAGAGAACCAGGTGCTGCTGGTAAGCTCTCTCATTGCATCTTAATTATGAATGCTACTTGCAGTTTTATGAATTATTCTAACCAAGGCGTTTTCCGGCACTTTCAAAACCATAATTTCAGTTTTCAGACTTCAGCTTAAACTGTTTTGAATATAAATTTCCACAAGTTTCATAGCACTGTTCAAGAAATTTGTACTTATGTTTTCTTGAAAATACGGCAAATATAAATTGGATATAAGTTCCAAAATTTTCAAAATATTATTTAGAAAATAAGCAGTCATGTTTTGTTGAAAATACTGTATATACAAAGCTATAACAGCACGAATCAATTCTAAGCTTTTATATTAGTGGGCGATTTCCATATTTTAAACTCGCCAAACAGAAATACATAAGTTGGTATTGAGAAAAATAATTTATCAGAATTACACTTTTTCTAATGATCTTATTAAATGATAATTAGAGTTAGAATATGCTTTATTTAAGTTAATATTTTAGTTCTGGTTAGTTTTTACTTTGTTTGACATAATGCAACTCGTTTAGCATTTATTTATGTCACTTGCATAACATTTAATATATTAGAAAGAATTCCAGTAACTATTATGTTAAATTTTAAAGCTTTTAATTCAGTGAAACAAATTTAATCGTACTGAAATAGTTCTTACTTTGATTTTAAAGAATTTTCTGGATTTCAACGAGTTACAAGCATCCATAGGTTTTAGGTATTTTCTTTGCAGTGCACTTCTTTTTTAGCATCGCGATTGAGTTGTTGCTAATCCTAGCTATGTTATGTTGATATGGCTAGCCTAAAAATATCACACTGCTTTTAATTAATTCACGTTATTTAGATTCCTAGTTTAATATTCATGAACAAAATGGAATCTGAGGAACTGGATGTTACTTAACCTCCATATTTAAACATTTGAGCATGAAATTAGAGAATGGTGGTTTCCTTAAGCAATATTTAATTTTAATTTCGTTATGTATATTTCATTTTTTTGTATCTCTGTTAAATTACTGAAAATGTCGCAGCCGAATTTATAAAGAGCTTTCTATGGAAAATTAGCTCGTGATCACGTTACAGGTAAGGAAAAACATGAAAGCTACATGCAGTCAATTCATTCACCAGCGTAAATTACCAAATAAATAAATGCAATTATATGGCGAATGAAATTCCTTTGGAATTTAACAAACTTAAGATGCAAAATTATTTTTTTCGTTTGCAGTAAGTTATCAAGGATTTTGACGCAAGCATTAGCCATTCACCAGAAGATTTCGAAGCGATTGTAGGTACAAAACACTATGTAATACGCATCACTTTGATAGTATTTCTTTGTAACTGGCACTGCAGTTCAGCTGTGAAGAGTCAACGGTCTCAGAAGATTAAATTAAGTGTGGTTAAATAAATTAATGTGACACCCAACGGCTTAGTGAACCAACGGCTTACAGAAGAGACATCATTTGCCATAAAATTGACTAGTTGTTACACTGAAGGAAAACACATCAGGCTTGCTTCCTGAAGAAGAATGCTTTTTTTAAAGGAATGTGGCTCTTATTACATTTTACATGTGGAAGATTAAATACATAACCAATTCGTTTCCACAGTCATGAACAGTGAACGAAACTACCAATATTTTCACCTTTTTAAGTGCTTGGACCTTACTGAATCATTACTATAAGGAATATTCGTAAATAGTACATAACTAAAACGTAAACATAGGAGGAGACAAGATTAACTACAGACATATGTCCAAAAAAAATATGACATTTAAAAAAAAAAAAAAAAAAAAAAAAAAAAAAAAACCTGCCTATCAGGTTTACCTTCCGGTTGTTTTCTAATTCTAATATAAACTTCTGTTTAACTCTTTAAACTCTCAGCTTCAACAATACAAACTATCTGGAACTGAATTATAATTTTATATATCTTATAAAAAGCAAAATGCATAATTTAAAAACCAACAGTATCGTAAAAATTCAGGAATTTAACACTGTCAACAGAACTTTAAAAGAGAAAAAAAATTAACCCAGCAATAAGTCATTCTGTTATACTAAGAAAGAACTAGAAAAAGAAGAAAGAACATAATTACCAGATTGCTTATAAAATAATCCACTTACCAGAAAATAGCATCATTAAATATTGAGTGTCTTTAAAAAAGCTTAAAATTTATCACCTATCCTAATATAATAAATATCTGTTTCCCTTTGCATTATCAGAATCTCAAAAATGTCCTACTGAATTCAGGTACGTTCAGATGGTATATACTATAAGCAAAAAAAAAAATGCTCAGTGACATTTAATTTGGAAATATGTTGAAAACAAAAGGTCTTTTCAATCATTTCCAAGTTAGAAAATGGATACCTAATTATTCTGTTATTACAAAAGATAATTTTTATTAAAATTTTTGGCTGTTAAAAAATAGAAAATATCAGCTGCTACACGATTTTGAAAATCAGATAATTTTGAAATTTAAAAATCAAATGATTTTGAAATTTTGATGATTTTGAAAAATCGGTTCAGATGGTATATACTATAAACAAAAAAGGCTTACTGATATTTAATTTGAAAATATTTTGAAAACAAAAGTTCTTTTCATCTTTTCCAAGTTAAAAAAATGGATACCTAATTATTGCATTTTTATAAAAGCTAATTTTTATTAAAATTTTTGGCAGTTAAAAAATTGAACATATCAGCTGCTACACAATTTTGAAAATCAAATGATTTTGAAATTGGAAATCAGGTTTTCAAAATCAGATAATTTTGAAATTTGAAAATCAAATTATTTTGAAAAATCCGTTCAGATAATATATACTATAAACAAAAAAAAGCTCACTGATATTTAATTTGAGAATACTTTAAAAACAAAAGGTCTCTTAATTTTTTCCAAGTTAAAAAATGGATACGTAATTATTATATTTTTAGAATATAATTTTTATTAAAATTTTTATTAAAAAGTTCTCTTAATTTTTTCCAAGTTAAAAAAATGGATACGTAATTATTATATTTTTAGAATATAATTTTTATTAAAATTTTTATTAAAAAGTTCTCTTAATTTTTTCCAAGTTAAAAAATGGATACCTAATTATTATATTTTTAGAATATAATTTTTATTAAAATTTTTGGCAGTTAAAAAGTAGAAAATATAAGCTGCTACACGATTTTGAAATTGGAAATCAGGTGATTTTGAAATTTGAAATTTGAAAATCAAGTGAGTTTGAAAAATCAATTCAGATGGTATATACTATAAACAAAAAAAAAAGGCTCGCGGTTATATAATTTGAAAATATTTTGAAAACAAAAGTTCTTTTCATCTTTTCCAAGTTAAAAAATGGATACCTAATTATTGTATTTTTATAAAAGATCATTTTTACTAAAATTTATGGCAGTTAAAAAATAGAAAATATCAGTTGCTTTACGATTATGAGAATCTGCACATCGCTTCCACATGAAGGAATATATAACAATGTTATGTCTGTTCCCGAAATTCTTCCAACACTCACTAAACTTACTGAACTATAGAACTATATCTTAACTGCACTATTTTTCATAGTTGTATTAAATTTAGTGACAGACTGCAAGTAATTAGAGTCCACAGTGCATAAATAACTCTATAGCGAAATACAACATGACAAACTAAGTCATGCTAAAAATTTTAGTTTAATACAAATTTCAAGAATTCTAAAATTTTCGATTTCTCTTATTTATATAAATGACACCATTGTAGTAATATTTTAAGTAAACTTAATTACCATACGATTCGGTAAAACACTTTTTTCTATTTATATTATTAAATGGAACTCTAATATTTCTAAAGTTATAGCAAACTTTGTAATTCATAAAATTATCAGAGTTAGTAAAAGCTAAACTAATGCTTAAAACTGTCGCAAATAAACAATTATGTTAATATACACTCTGATTATAATATTGATATTTTAATAATAGAGTTGCAGTTAATTTTATTTTTAAATAAATTCCGAAATTGTCCTTAAAGTTTGTTTAAATATTTTAAAATTGTTTCTCAGAAATTTTTCCCCCAGGTACAATAGAATTAGATTAAGCTGTTTACGATCACTGACTCTCTAAATCCGTTTTCCCAAAGTAAAGAGTTCTTTGCAGTTCCACACGCTTGTCTTTCGCAACGCAAAATCGACAAGCGCTTTCGGGAGAGTGTACAGAAGTGGTGGTGATTTTTGGATCCATCGTCATTATTATTATTATTATTATTTTTTTTTGAGTGGGAATATTCGTTTATTTTTTTAGCCTGTATTTGGCACTTTTTGTCATATTTTGTTTGTATGTACTTCCCGGTTGTGACATGATTGTGTTTCTCGACTTATAGTCAAACCTTTTAATTCGCAGTTGCCCTGAATTTCTATCAAGCCATTCAAATAAAGCGAAAATGACCTCCAGTCTTTACTCCCTTCTCCGTAATTCTCTTAAATGGACCATCAGCTCTAAATTAAACTCGCCATGTATCTTTAATGATCTTATTTTCAGCGTGGCGAACATCCCCATAATATTTGCTGCCAATTCGAGGTTCTTGCGCTGTCATTAATGACTTCCCGGAGTGTTCTTCTTCTAATTTGGGGCGGAGCTGCACCGTTAGTGAGGTGGAACTATACTTGTGTAGATTATAATGAAATTCTGGAGTTGTCATTAATGACTTAGAATGGATCAGCATATGAATGAGAAGTCCAACATCATAACCCATCTTGTGTTGCGAACATGCGACCTTGCATGTTATGAAGAAACACATTTATTTCGATGTGTTTTATCTCCCATTAAAATATATTCCATTCACTTTAACACATTCTGTTTGCAGTTTTTCTACATTTATAAGGGCTACCTTCAGAATAGCTTAAGACGATGCCTAGCTGACGATTAAATTGTATGGTGAATTTTCAGTACTACTAATTTTTTTTTAACTAGGATAGCACAGGCATACTAATACAACAATAACAAATTTCTGTTTTTGATGTCGGTAAACTTTATATCAGTTTGCAGACTATCTCTAAAATAGAAATAA